CCTCCTGCGGCCGGCGGCGGCTCTGCATGGGCCGCAGCGCCCCCCCGGGGCCCCGGTTGCCAGGGGAGAGGGAGCCGGAGCCGCGCCCTCCCGAGCGGGGGCGCCGTGGGGGGTAGGGAGCTCCGTTGGACCCTGCAGCCGTCACAGTGACCTCTGCTATAGCTTCGGGCAGCAGATGGGCTGCAAGAGACCTCGTCCAGCCCCTTGCTCAAGGCTCAAGGGTCACGGAATGGTAGAGAAGCAGAGCCAGAAGGCACCCCCAGAGGTCATCCCGCTGCCTGAGGCAGGGCCGTGTCTAGCTAAACCCTCCCATATAACGCACACCTAACCTCTTCCTAATACTACCGTCAACCCTGATGCAACACGAGACCGAGCACCCTAACCTGCCGCAGGTAAAGCAGGGAGACTGGGGCAGCCAACATCTGCTTTTAACCAAAAGTGTTGATATATGCTGGAGGGATGCCCGGGAGAGGGCTGGCCCCCGCGACTGAGGAAGGCAGAATCCCCCACAGTCTGACCTGTCTGAGCACTGCGTAAGGTCCCATCCTGACCCCGAGTGTGGTGATCCGTCTCATTCTGATTGGAGGGGCAAGACCCTCTAGGAGCAACCTCCGGCTGCGGTCCTAGCAGGAGCATTGGCACACCCAGTTGAAATCTCCAGCGATTTTCATTCATAGATTGTAAGGCTGGAAGGGACTTCAGAAGATCGTGGGGTCCAGCCCCCTGCACCAAGCAGGAAAGATCATTGGGGGTCAGGTGACCTCAGCAAGGCGACTGTCCAGTCTCCTCCTGAAGATTTCCAGGGTAAGCGATTGCACCATTGCACCACCTCTGTAGGGACCTTATTCCACAGTCTGGACACCCTGACTGCGAACAAGTTTATTTCTGGGTCCAGTTTATTGCTGCCCAGCCATTGTGCATAGTTGGTCATGCCTCTGCAGTTTGTTTCTCCCACTAGATTTCAGGGGACCTCATGCTTCCACTGGGAAGCCACTCTGTCCTCCTAAATTTACATCCCTGTCAGTTCTTCAGAAAAAGAGAAACTTCAGCCATTAGTTCAGTTACCTGGGAAGATTCAACCTGCTTTATTAATACATAGATAAATATCATCACTGTTGGGGCTGAACTGCAGTCGATTTATCTAAATTAAATCTTTCTCTGTCTGGAATTTCAGTATTTCAAAATGAAGTCTCCTAAGGCAGTTGTGGAGCTGAGAAGTTTTACTTGCATGTAATGATTTATAATTAATGTTCTGGGTGAAATGATGCTACCTTATCAGAGGTTTAGAGTAAATGTCCTGAGATATATTTTCAGTATCCAGTTTCCACGCACTTACAGAGGAGACTGCCTCATCCAGTGTTCATAAATATTGCAGATCTATTTTATTCTAGACATCTGGTCTGTTCGGGGTAAAAGGACCAAAAGACACATGTAAAATAGGCAAACTTTAGTATGTGTTGAAATCTGTAGTGTTATACATAATTGCAAACTAGGCACAGGTACAAGTATGCTTTCAGGATTAGGGCCTAGGATACATGAATATGCATTTATAAGTAGGATGTCCTTCCTCCTCTATATTCATGTTCCTCTGTGCCGTACTTCATTGCTATATGCTTATTTGTCTTTAAATGTACAGCTCCTAAACTTAGTACGGTATTGAATTCTGGTTAAATATGTCTTGACTATTAATAAATATATAGTTTAAAGCTTATAAAAGTGCCTTAGAATATTATGATGAAATCTGATGTTAAAAGCTGGTTATATTATATTTCCAGTATTAAGCAAATGTAGGTGTCTCTCAGATAAATGCATATTCAAGTACTCTTCAAAAGACCATTGTAAAGCCCATTAACAGTAAGCACTTTGAGGCATTTCTCTAAATTCATAAGAGGACTACTGTGTAATTTTCTACTCGAGAGAGGTCACAGAATTTTGTACATTTAAGATATAAATAAACTGAGGACACAGTCTTTCACTAAACCATATGATCTCTTTCTCCGTTTTCTTTCAATGCAGAATCAGGGCTCTTGGCTACTTCACAGTATACTGAAAGCTTGTTTTTACCTTAATGTTCTTGCTGAACAAAATATGTTTAAATTATTTTACAGCAATAACTATAACTTGTCTTTAACAGGATATTTTGCATAATTTTATATTATAGTAAGTTGCAGTAAGGTTTTTTTTTCTGGGTATAATTAAGGTGGGGACTTTCTACATAAAGGCAAAATGTGAAATAATTGTGTGCGTTTTATAATAAAGGCAAGCTTTGAAAACTTGATACATGGCCCTTTGCTGTCTTTAATCCTGTGTGTGTGTGTGTATCTGTGATTGTTGTGAGAGGAAAAACTTTTTATTGAACTTTAAATACAGTAGCTGTTGGGACAACATGATTAATAATCATTTGGAAATTAAGTCTCCTCTTTGAAAGAAATTAATTGTGTATTGTCCTTTTGATTTAATTTAGTGGCTTGCTCTGCGGTATATTATCGACTGTTCTACAGTACTCAGGAGAAGCCCCTTCTTGAAATGCATCACAGTCGGCACATTTAGTCTGACATTAGTGAATGGTAATGGCCAGTGAATTGGGCCAGCATTAATGTAAACTCTGGTTAATAGAGACACTTCAGTGACACAAGTGATTCTTAACCAGATTATTATATAGATGTCAATTTTAGATAAAATCACTTAAAAATGAAACAAATATTTTTCTTTTAAAGATGAAGGGCGGTGTATATCCCTGTTATACAGTGACATCTGATGTCATCCAAATCCTTTTTCTCTTGTACTTTTCTCTTACTTATCTTGGATTTGTGATACTAACTAAATCATCACATTCAATCTGCAAGTGTAGGGAATATGACCTGTCATACATTTTGTTATAATTGTACCTTATTTGCTTCGGTGGTGTTGTAAAACTGAGTATGGCAAAATCACACTGCAAGGCATTATTAATAACATGCATTTAAAATAAAGAGATTCCATACACTAAAAAGGGAACATTGCCTTTTTATAATGGGCCTAATATTGGCACCACTGAATTAAGTAGAAGTTTTAAGAACATAAGAATTGCCAGCACCTCATCTAGATCAGTTGCCAGTACCAGATGCTTGAGCATCTGATGCAGGAAAACCTGTGCTGGGTGATTCTGGAATAACCTGGATGTAGAAACAATTTCTTTCCAACCTCTAATAGCATGGGGTTAAGCTAAGCCTTCCAATGTATACATGCCATTGCAAAGCTGACATCTTGTGTGTCTTGCATTTCTTGACCTCAGTGATATATGTGACTCTTATCCCTGAAGGTATGATGTCATGTAGTGGGTAGGAAGGAGTATTTACTTCATAATTTTAAAGTGTTGCTTTACAATTGCACTATTTAACTTATGACATAAGAATGAGGAATGCACATTTTACTTTCTCTGTATTATTCATTATTTTATATTCTTGTGTGTATTCCTTTTTCACTTTGTCAAAAAATAAGTCTCTTTTTTCAGTCCCTCTTAATTCAGGTATCTTGTCTTTATTCTAATAATTTTTGTTGTTTATCGTAAAATTATTTCTTCTTGGTTTTTTTTCCCCCTACATCTTTTAAACATAGGCACTAGAAGTAAAAACAGCATTCTAGGTCATTTTAACATTTTCAGGATTTTCTTCCGTTTGGTTCTTTAATTATCCTAACACTTGTTTACCATTTGATTCCGCTAAATCAGTAGTTCTTAACATTTTAAAGACTCTAGGCACTCCTCCTTAGACTTGAGACATCCCTTAGAAAATGCTAGCTCTTAGCTTTCACTTGACTACAGAAATAAGATAGAACAACTCTTCTGTTGCAAAGCAGTCAGAAAGACCATAACAAATAAGAATGTTTGACCCTATGACTTCCTATTGGAAATTTCTAGGTTTATCTTGTGAATCAGGCAGGTGTTTGCACATCTAAGAGTAATGATATTGCCTGGCATCCCACAGCACTCTTAAAAGAATCATGTGGCACTCCAGGACTTAATGGTACTTGGGTTGAGAATCACTCCGCTAATGAGGTTCACAGTGCTGCCTTTGAGCTGTACATTCTTTACTGAGGATTAGCTCTAAGAAAAAATATGTGCTTATAGCTAAAAGTTGTTCAAAATAGAATCCCTCACATCAAAACTTTTCCAGTTGGAATGTCCAAACTTGGGAGGGAGGAGGGGCAGAGGGAGACCACTAGTTGGAGTTGGCAAAAAATTAAAAGATGCATCATCAAGACACCATTAGCTACAAAGGACCAACTCATGGGACCATACTAAATTCTAGTTCATTTGATGTGAAGTTACCAATAACGTCATAAGTGCAAACTTTGAGTTATGGGTGGTACTGGTAACCTTAGCGCATGCGCACGCGCACATATTCAGACACATGTAATATAGTATGTAGTGGCTGCTGTAGTGATTGTGGGCACTGGTGCCAGTATATCTACCTATCCGAGGCCCTGGAGTCTGCTGTCGATGGTCAGCTTCCTTCAAGGCGATGTCTTCTCCAGAAAGGGGTCGCCTGCTTGTCATCCTGTCTCGGTAGGTCAGGTGCTGGATGAGAGGGTGCCAACGAGGGTCACGCTTCACTGCCTTTTATCCCTTTCTGGCAGACTTGTGTGATCCCCCAGCATCATGTTGGATACCCAATCTGGAGGTCGTGTCCCACATGTGTCTTGAGTAGTACCTGACAGCTGTTAGTCACAGGGGTCTCTGCCTGCTGGTACCTGAAGCTTTGGGAGTCCACCCATAACTTATTGACTTAATGGCTGTATTGTTATGGGTTACAGGAATAGTCCATAGGGTGAGTGCTCAGTTCCAGGAATCAGTTCTTTAGCTTGCTTAACTTAAAATGGAGTTCCTTTGTCTACACCATTGTCTACTGATGATCATCATTCACTCGCATTCAGTCAACAGATTTTATCACTTTACAGTTACAATTTCAATGCGGTTTTAACAATGGTCCAGGGTGTAACTTAATTCTATGGGGAGTACATTCCTTAAGAGTTTAAAAGTATAAAATATAAAATGCAAAATGCCATGGTAAAGGCAAGGCAGATGAAACATGAAAATGCATTGTGAGAAATATATAAAAATGCAATGTGAGGTAGTGAGGATCAAAGGCTACTGGGGACAGTAAGTGAGTTAGGTTAACACCAGGATATATTTACAGCTTTTGCGGTGTATATTTTAGTTTGTTTGTTTTTTTAGTGACCCTGAGGCTTAATTAATATGTAGATGTAGTGTCTAGGTTTTTCCTACAGAAAGCCATTTCAGTTTTCTGGCTTGCTCTAAGTCTTGCCACACCCATGCAGTGAATGTGCTAGGTCTCTGCATTTCTTTTCTTTCTAAGTGTTGGCAGAAAATGGGGGGGTGGAAGGGTGCAGGCAAGAAGGGGCTTCTGTTATATCCATGTCCAGAAGGGAAATATACAAAGGGGGCTTTCTGCCACAACACCACCTGATTATTCATTCTTTTTCAATCTGTTTCATTATCTGGATTGTAATGTAAGTTTACTGCAAGCTTGAGATTTTACATACATCTATATATAAGATTTCTTCTCCTAAATGTAATTATCTCCTTGGTTGGGAAACTCAAAGCAGAAGGTCTTCTGAAATGCTCTAAGAATGTTTCTGCTGAATCAAACATATTACATTTTAAACTGAACAGCTTATTTGAAATGTCTGCTCAATCAGTCCTTTTAAAATGGCTGACAATTTCCTGAAAACATATTTCAAGAGCTTCTCTTGTTGGTTTACTAAATACTGCTCTAATTAATGTACCTTTTTGTTCTTGTTCTTCCATATTTTTGGTATTTGTCTTCCTGTTGTTTTAAATAGCATAAAATACTCTTTCTTGTAATTCTAATATTTTGTGATCAAGTCACTGGAAGCCGAAGTGTAGAACATGTCATTTCTGCAGGTTGGCGTGTATGATGTTGTGTTACATAGTCTTTTCACAATTTTAAAAAATGGCAATAATATTTAATATTAATTTTATCCTTGCCGCCTTGATGAACTTGCAGTTACATTCTAAACAATGCAAGTCATTGCTAAAGTAATCTGTGGCCTGGATTCATCACTTCAGTTTTGATAAAAATCAAATAGACTTTTTGCATTCTTCTTTATCCTGAAATGCAGCAGAAGATCTGTTTCTGAGCTTAGAAGAAATAGAGATTTGGATGAAAAGTAGTTGACTTGGTTGCAGCTTGGGTAAGACAAAGGCAATATTAGAAGCAAGAGAAAAGAGTCTAGATAGACCTTTTAGGAATTTTCACTTCATTCTTTATTGAAGGCATATGCCCTCCAGTTAACAAGTAAATTACTTTTTTTCCAATCATAAAAATATCTTAGTTATTCAGATGACTCAGTGGCAGCTAGAAATCCTTGGTGATTGAATAGGAGACTGCCATTTTTTACAAATGGGAATGTCATCTGTGCCCCTTTGAGAACGTATAATTACAGCTTATTTTGATCCATACGATGCACTCTACAATTTTATTCAGTATATAACAACCCAGCGGCTAACTGGAATGAACCAAGGGAGTGTATTACAGTACATTATTCAAATTTGCTTTGGTGCCATCTGAATTTGATGAGATCTGTGCAGTTGCTCGTATCTTTAAAGCCCTTTCAGAGCTTTGAGAATCACTATCTTTTCTCAGCAGCATTCCACAGAAGCACTGTACTATCTCAGACAGAGATGTATGCTTAAAGGAGCCATCCCTAGGGTATTTGTAGGAAAAGTCTAAGTCCCACCAAAGTCAAATTGCTGTAAAGCCTTTTATCATGATGCAAACAATTCAAAGATGGACATTAGCAGATGAGGATATTTTAAAGTAGTTGCTGTACTGTGCTTATGGAATGGCAAACCAAATATTACCTATATGTAAGCAGGGAGAAGGTAATTTAGTAGATATGTGAGTAGGACCTGTCTCGCAGACAATGCATTGTAATGTAACGTCACCTAAAAATGCCTCTTTCCTTGTATATGCATGTGCAGTGTACCTAGACAGGTGCCTCTATGCAATGGGATCTACATATTTAAAAATGCATACCCAGGAAAGATGAGTAGGTTTTAAATGTTTGTGGAATCCATAGACAGACACTATCAATTACCTTTATTTAGTTGTTATGAATGCTCTTGAAGAACTTTTTACACATTTAACTAGGCAGTACCTGTTGTAGCTCAGATACCACTTTATTTAGCATAAAACTATGGAAAAAAATCTGAAAATATTCTGAAATAGTCGTCAACGACCAATGGTTGGTGCCTTCTATTTTTCTCCCTTCCAACTTCCAGCCCACTGTTCGTTGTGTTCTTTTGTTGCATCTTGTGTTTTCAAATTCCATTCTCATTTTTTTTCTGGGCAGAGGGCATATGTTTGTGCATTAACTAAGACCATAGGCTTATCTTAATGCTAATCTTTGATCACTACTGCATCACAAGAAATAAGGTTGGTAGTTAAGCTTCTTTTTTGTACAGAAATTGATTTGTTTGCATCATTGCTATTATTAGGTAAACCGGAAGCTTTGTCCTAGTTTTTTTATGAACTATTATCCCAATTTATTTTAATGAGAAACATTAGCATTCAGTATCAGAAAATTTCATTTAAGTGTAATAGTGTACTTGAGGAGTTGTCTAACTAAAAAGTGTGGTAGTTAAAGACATCTCAAAAAATAAAAACATGAGAATGCATCACTTTTGCTCCCAGTTGACTGCCAGATTTCTCGTTTGATTAAATACTCCTAGTTTAAAAGAATGTAAAGTAATATATAGCATGGAGAAACTAGCTTAGAATATTGTTCAAGTTTTACAACATACAGATAATACCCATTGTCAGTATGTGATTCCACTAACAGTGCTAAAATATCATAGATTTACAAGCGGTATTTCGAGTCAGACTTTTTTCTTTCTGCAGATCATTATTATGGATTACCAAAACATTTGGAAGTGTGTTTCAGTAACTGAACTGACCTTTTGTTTCTATTTTTAGTGCTCCAAGCTGACAGAATTGATCAAAGAAGTGAAAATACAGAATCTTTTGAATGCAGAACTTACAGCAGCATTTCCTCATAAAGATAAAATGAATGCTCTTCAGAGAAGTTGCCTAAATAATAGCTAATAAACATATGAAATACTACCACCAAGAAAATAATTTTATCTCCTGTTGCTATGTTTGACTTATGTGGCAATAGGCCACTTCTTTTGAAATGCAGCTGAAGAAAATGAGGGAAATTTTGCCAAAATTATATGCCAGCCCTGTTAATGACAAAAGTAATTCCTTGACTACATCCCCGAAGAAAGCTACTGAGGATAAAACAAATCCTCCAAAAAGGAATGAAGGCCAAAATTGTTACCAAGGGACTGAAGCAGACGATAATAAACTGACATTGGTAGGTTGTATAAAATGCAGAAGTGTGCAAAAATTTTCAGTGCATGGATTGCAAAAGTGTGACAAGCTTAAGAGGACTGAAGACAAAAATTTTATCTGTAACAAGTGCAGTCCACCGGCTTCCAATTTGGTATCTGATAATGTCAGTGCCACAGACTTAAAAAAGCAAGGTAAACCATCTTCAAGTAAAATCCAAAAAACTTTTAAAGTAAAAAACTTTCAGCCAGGTAAATATTACTGTGATAAATGTCGGTTTTCAACAAAGGATCCTTTGCAGTATAAAAAGCACGTAGCTCAACATGAGGAGATTAAGTTTCTTTGTTCCCACTGTAATTATGTATCCTACACTAAAGGAGAATTCCAGCGGCACCTGGTAAAGCACACTGGAATTTTTCCATATCAGTGTGAATACTGTGACTATGGTGCCATTCGACATGATTATATAGTAAAACATACCAGAAGAGTACATGAAAAGATCGCTAGGAGTCGTCTAACAAATATGGCTGCAAAGCGTGAGCAAAAGAGGTCTTCCTTGCCAAAGCAGGGCACTTTATCTATAAAGCAGAAATGTGATAAAAAAGTACTTCTTCCAAATGAGTTTTCAAATTTGTCATCAAGTGCAGCTTGTGGTAAGATTCGCACAGAATTGGCCAAAACAGTTAGTTTATCTGATGATATAAAATGTAACATAGATATACCATCAGCCCAAGATAAAAGCTTATTGGGGCCAGCTGAAGTGAACATATATGAGAATCAGAATGTGGAAGTTGAAGTTTATTCTCCAAAGAAGAAGCCTGTACAACCTGGAATGCCATTAACAGTAATTGCACCTTCAGAACTTGTTGTTCCTTCAAATTGTTTAGCTCAGTTACTAGAGATGAAAATAGTGAATGGCACACAGCAGTTGGTTCTTAAACTTATCCCTCTGGAAGAAACAACTAATAAATCTATGAACTGTGATGAAGAGGAACTTGGGAACCAAGATCTAGAACAAATATCAGAAGGAAAAAGAAGTATGTCGGTGGCTGAAAACAAATTATTGACTACAGAAGCAAAGGAAGACAGATTAGATCATGTTGGTAATCTGCTTGCTTCAGATAAATGCAACAAGAATTCTGAATGTCTTAATCTGTCTAATTCTCATGCTTTAGATTGCAACTCAGATATGCATAGGGGAGGCAAATTAAAGTTAACTTGTGATATGGTGAAAGATTTGGGGAAAGGTGCTGAGTTTAAAACAGGTATCCCAAAACTTTCTATTGAATCTCCGGTAACTAATAATAGTGAAAGCATCTGCCCTAGATCTTCAAATAAGTTAACTGGTGAAAAATGTGCGTTAAGTCATGATTTGCACTGTTATGAGAGCCTGAATACATCTATAGGTCTACATGCTGCTGCTTCTGAAGATAAAACAACCCAGAATGTTTTGTTACAGGCTTCTCAGGAGAAGAAAAATTCTTCATGCCCTGTCCTTGGAGAAAAGAACATGTTGGCTTTAAATAGCAATGACAAAAAATGTAGGACTCAGTTCTCCAGCTCTCCAGAAACATGTCTGTTCAATGACAACAATTTTGTTAAAGAGCCTCTTACAACTTCTGAAGCAGGGAAAAAGTCACCCATTAGTAAAACTGTATCATTGGAGGATTTAAATGTTGGCTTAAGTAGTGTAAAAAGAGTTGATTCTAAAGGTCAAATGAACAATCTCCTTTTGGAATCTTTAGAATTACAGAAAGTTGAAAATGAAGATCGCTGTTTAGAGGGTCCTGTTATTTCATCTGTATTTTCACTTAGCTCTGGTGCTGAAAACATCCCAGAGGGCATCAGATGGGACAAGAATTCACGGAATAAAAAGTCAACAGCTTTGTTATGTAGAAAGATTGCTCAGTTGATGTCTGCTGCTGAATCCCATATGAAATCTACATTGGCTGCTTCACCTAGGCCTGTTAGGTGCCATGCTTCCAATGAGAAGATGCCTTTGACTCCAGAAACTTCAGCAAACTGTGAAAAAAATGTCCCCACTACTGAATTGGAACAATCTTCATCTTCACTTCAAACATTATCAAAGGGTGTGATTAATAATGAAGAGTGTAATATAGAACAGCCACAACCACTGACAACTACAAAAAACCCTAAAAGTAGGGTTACTAAAAACTCACATGTTGCTACCCCAGTGTTTATTCCAAAAGGGACAGTTCTTAGAGTGCTGAATACCACCAGCAGCGAGAGCCCTAAAGAAGTAGAAAATAAGGATAAAACGTCACCTCCTTCTATATACTGCAAAGAAATGTTCTTACCAAGGCCGGTTCCTTTCAGCATTTCAGAGAAACTAAGCAGAAATCCACCTACTCTGGCAAAAGAGAATGAACTTAAAGAACAGTCCAGAAATATAACACTTAGATCAAAAAGAGAGGTGCAGACAAAAACTAATAGCAAACAAAATTGTATGTTGTTGCATCAAAAGAATAACCTAATTAAGCAGAGCAAATCTAATTCAAAGAGTCAGCTTGCACCAAAAAATAAGGTAAAGCAAGCGGGTTCCAGGGATTATATTTCTAAGAAGAAAACAAGAATCCAGTCAGAAACCAGTTACGGTTCTGAGATGACGCCTCTTTTGACAGCAAGACGTCTTAGGCTTGTACCTCTTAGAGTGGATCAATTGATAAAATGCCCTCGTCGTAACCAGCCTGTAGTTGTGTTAAACCATCCTGATGTTGATTCACTAGAGGTAATTAATGTAATGAAGACCATCAACAAGTATAAAGGCCATGTCCTGAAAGTAGTTTTGTCAGAAAGAACAAGTAGTTGTCTTGGAGTGAAACGACATCATAGGCGGCTTACACTTCAGGATGTTGAAACGTTAAGCCAAGTAAAAAAGCCTAACATGTTAAAAATGAAGCTAAAGAAGACCCATAAAAACAACTACCAAGTAGTGGAAACTTCACCAGCTGAAACACTGAAGTGTATGTTTAAGTGTTGGTTTTGTGGAAGAATATATGTCGACCAGGAAGAATGGATAAGTCATGGACAAAGGCACTTAATAGAAGCTACTAAAGGTTGGGATGTTCTTTCTCTTCCGCTAAAAAGCCACAAGTGACAAACTGGCTATTATTTCTCTTAGTTTAACATGAGTGCCATTAATTTGTTAGGAAAAAAGTACAGTTAAATAATTTATTTTAGCCAAAGCTTTTTAGTTTTGGCCAAATGGGGAATGAGAATAGAGATTATAAACAGCATGTGAAGCCAGTGGCAAGTATTCAGCACTACAGAACATTCTTTTGCTTCAAGAGGCCCTCTTCTAGTTTTTTGAGAGCATTACCTTTAAAATGATTTACTACGCAAGTGTCTTTCCAGTGACCATTCACCGCACTATAATGCTAGATTTGCGTTGGGTCACTGTGGATTAAAATCTCAAATTATGTGTCCTATATCAAATTGATTTAATCAGTCCAATTTTATAATTAGAGTTTACTGGTTCAGAATTTCGGCCTCGTGAAAAGCACTTTGACCCTCTGAACAAAAAGTATGTCAGTTTGGTGACACACACAAGATGCCATGTAGCAAAAAAAAAAAAAAATCTGTGATCTTAAAATTAGGAATTTTGTGAGATCAGAACTACATTAACTAAGTAGAATGACAATGATAAAGCTAATTTTTTGTAGTACAGCAGAAGGTCACTGGGAACTATTTATACCACCTTTTTATTCTGTACAAACAGGGCAATTTAGATTCCATGCTGGTTTAGAACTGTGTTTGATGCCCCTCCCTGCCAAGTCCTGGACTGCCAATGAGAAATGAGCCCCACCAAGGTACTTGCGCTTCCCACACACACAAACCTGTCAATTATACAATATAGGTGGTTTATAGGTTCTGAGTGACCTGCTGAGGATCCCTTTAAACCCTCCCTGTTGCCTAATTCTTGGGCATAGAAGAGATGTGTGAGTAGCAAGAACGAATCGGGGCTTGGCAGGGCGGTGGTGTAGACATGGCCACTCTGAAACTAATGGGCTGTATTCAGATGTAGTGAAATAGGACCTGATCTTCCAAGCACTAAAGGGCATGCCATTCATTGTTATTCATAGTCCCTTAGAAACGTTTGCAAGATTCCGTGTTCCAACAGAGTATCAGCCAACTAGCTAGTGCACGTGTAGGAAACAAACTGATCTTTTGAAATAAAAATTATATTAACTATCTCTGCATTGGTAGCTTTTGTCTGGACTTTCAGTAGACTTTTTTTATTATTTAATACCTATTTTTTTTTTTTTTTGGATTTGCATGTCATTGGAATCTACTTATGTAAGTCTCATGTCAGAAGTTACTTGAGCATATCCGTAATCAGGCATGTACATAATCCCTTTGACTTTAGTGTGTTATTTAAGTTAATAAACACACAAGTTATCCCAAATACCTTGCTGAATCAGGGACATAGTTTAAGATTAGAATAGGGAATGAGGAAGGATGAGTACTGAAGTTTAATAGTTGGATATTTGAGTACAGAATTTTCTTTGTTATTTTATAACAAAACAGAAACTGGCCTTTTAAAATTTCATTTGGAAGAGGTGATGTTGAAGTAAGCACATATTTGCAGTCAAAATTGGTTCTTACATTTTTACAGGTAAAAAAATCAGTACTGATTTTTATGCTGGATATATATGATACATTTGAACTTGGACTACTACCTGAAAATGCCTGTAGTTGTTAACTGTTTTTCGCTGTTATCACATTTTGTAAAGAATTTAACTAGGCTGGAAATATTTTTGTTCTGTTTTTATACTCTAGAACAGTACACATTGTTTTGATAAGGTATGTACTTTATCTATTGAAATGTGAATATCTTGAAGCTAAAAAGCACATCTTGTTACTTAAATTGAATTTACAAGAACATGTATCACATTTTTTCATTAAACCATTTTGCAATACAGTATAAATATCCTTTAGATACTTGGTGCTTTCAGAAGTCAGATGTTATTTTATGTTGTATACACATTGCAGATTTTGTACTGTAGGCTAAGCTGTCCACTGAACAAATTTTTGTCTGGCTGTTTAGTTGGTAATAACTAAATGTCAATTTTCATTTTATATTAAAAATTGAACTATATTTTTTTTAGCTGGTTACCCTAAAGGTTTTTCTTTTCACTTTATGTACTTTGAGGCCAAACTTAAGAATATAATTTGCATTTTAAATGATGAAAGTAGTTTTTCATTTCTAAATCCTTGCATATCACATTGTAGTACATACTGAAAATGTTAACACATGAAGAAAACTGCTTATGGCTGAATTTGATCCATGTGTTAGACTTATTCCATCCAGGCTGTTGATTGAACCTACTTTAGTTTCTGGAGAAGGTGCTAAGGTAACAGTTATGAATTTTCACTTTAAGACAGTGGATATCAACTTTTCTGGCAGGGATGCCACAAATTAGCCCCACCCCCTTCCTGGATGCCACTCTGATCTTTCTCCCTTATCCAATCTGCTGCTCAGGTTTCTGCTTCCTGCCCTGTGTTCCCTGTCCCCAACCAATCTACCGTGTGCCACAGAGTTTGCCTGTGCCACTTGTGGCACACAGGTTGGACATCCTGGTTTAAAAGGTGTCACAGGCAAAATTTGAACTTATTTGATGAACCCTATGTTGTAAAAACCTGTGTTGGTGCTCAGCATCATAAGTTCATTCTAGATGGTTTGAGTACTGTAGTAATGTTATGTCTCTGTATAATTTACTAAACAAATGCAAAGGCTTTGTATACCAGTGACCTAGAAGAGTTAGAGTTGTTAAACTACATGTAACTGTATTATCTTTGCATTTAATTTAAAAATATAAATGCTTTTATTTTAACATGAAAACTTTTAGTAAATGTAATTGTATGATGCTTATCTGAAAGCAGATTCTGTGCTGCCTTTTTTTTTTCTTTTGCCGAGGACATCTAAACTCTGTCCAGATGGTTCCCTTTTAATTGTTGCTTTGTTTTTGGATATTTTTTTCCTTCAGGGATGTTTCTTATCTCAAATGCTTAATTCAGGACTTCCCAGTTTTTTTCCTGCAATGAGTTCAGAGAACAAAAAGACTAGAGGCTGTTGAGGGAGGTGGGGGAGCACGTCTACACATGCATTAACATGCTTTTTCAGATTCAGGCTGAATCTGAATCAAATATGGCCTGTTTCACACCTCTAATGTATACTGTACCAACGGTGAATGGTTAAACAATAAGTGTTCAGATAGATGAAATGTTGCTTTGTTCCATTGCATGCTCTATTATTTGTGTTCCTAATGTGATCTCTCATATGACTTTTTTCTGGTAACTAATGTGGGTTTTTTAATGCCAAGAGGAACTATAAAAGATCAAACAGCGTGCTGCTAAGTTGTTAACAAGAAAGAATATATTATTGTTTAAACGTTAGCCTCTTTTAATAACTTTTCATGCAGTTACTGTACAATAGCATTTATTGCTACATGCAATAATGCCCCAAACTTTTGTACACAACATTGTTCATAGCAATCAGCAAAATTCAAGCAGATCTATGGTTTTATATTTGAGACGTCTGATGTAACAGAAGACAGCTGTCTTCCTAAGGTTTAGATCTCCTGTATTTATGTTGAACTCAAGGCATAATCTCCAAACTTTTATACAGATTATAAATAATTAAGTGTTGTTATTTTTAAATTTCTGGAAACAAACTGAAAATGTTAAGGTGAGAAGCATCTTCTGTCCAACTTGAACGGTTGTGTAAGGTAACATTGTTCTTTCTGGGTTCCTGATTGATCCTTTCCATCAATAAGTGTGATGGGGACGTATTTGTAGAAGTCAATGATTTCCTGTACAGAGTCAAATTTCTGAAAAACATGGAAAAATATCACAATAAATGCAGAGATATTGAAAGTCCTTTTCTCTTCTAACAGGGGCTAAAAAGTTGTTGCTTTGTTTTTTCAAAAAGTATAAGTAACTTAATATTTTATAAGAAATAAGGAACTTAAAAAAAATTAGCAAGGGGTGGGGAGTGCTGGGATCATAGCTTCCCCCTTATTTCATTCCACTTGTCTCAGCAGTGAATTGTGGAGTTAACTTAGTTGTTTGCTTTATATGAGAGAGCCATATTGGATAAAATGCATAGTCTTTGGAGCATGGACTGGAAGCTAGAACTCCCAGAGCAAACGTAAAGCATATGGCTTGCAGGCCATATTTGGCCTGTGCAGCCATATGATCTGGAGTCTCTGGACTAATCCCACATGCTACATGGAGCACACGCCAACTAGAGCCCTGTGTGCTGCATGTGATGTGTGGCTGGACCCAGCACCATGTTTGTTGTACTTAGCATGGGGGTTTGGTCCAGGACTTGCTCTGCGTATGTTGCCTGCGTGCATCTGCAGGGTTTGCTTTGCACTCAGCTCACAAGCCAGACCTGGCACAGCATGCAGTGCAGGGGGCCAGAGTGTGGTCTCCATGCAGCACCCTGCTGGACTGGCCCTGTGTGCTGGCTCTGGTGTAGCCCAATTCGGACCCATCCTGGGGCCAGCATGCAGGGTTGGTTTAGCAGGATGCTGCATGCAGCCCATTTCCCCAGACCAAGTCCCTGTGCTGTGCGCAGTGCTGGGTGCAGCCTGTATACCACATACAGCATAAGCCCTGGAGCAGAGCTGGTCTACACTACATGCGATGCATGGGCTGGACCGCACGCTGAGGGTGCTGCACACCTGCATAGGGATCTGGACCCTCAGACCTGCCTAATGACTCTTATCCAGTGGCTGGATGTGTTTGATACTCCTGCCTTATGCCATAGTCATAATTTCTCTTACTGCTTGTTTTGCCCTAGGATACTTTCTTTCCTTTTTTGCAAAGTGGAAGTGCTTCAAGAGGAGGCTGGATAGTTCAGAAGGGCTGTAGCTTGAGGTTCAGACTCTCTCTAAGTTGGTTGTAATTGTGGGTTTGAGTTGGAGGTGGAAGCCTGGCTCCCCTATGTCCTAAGTGCTCTAAGCGGCTAGATTTTGTATATCAGTTGTTTGGCAAAACTTCCTTCTGTAGTCATGACACAAAAGAATTTAGGATCTTCCATTTTTAGTCTAGGTCCCAATTTTGGGTCTAGCTCTTATGTGTGATTGGATATGGTGTGGTATTTTTAAAAATTGTGTAAGTGGGTGCAGCTGGGTTTAATTGGTACAGCTGTGCCTTTTTTGCTAGCAACAGTATTAACATTTTAAACTGAATTATTTTTCTTTTGCTTTTATTCAAGTATTATGGCTTTATCTGCATGGAGCTTCAGTCAGTTACTGATAACAATGGTGCTAATGTAGAAGTAGCAGTTTTCTAGGATAAATCTAAGTTAACTATAGTTCTTTATATGTCATGATGAAATATACAGGAGACCTAATTCTGCTCTTGTATAGAAATGTAATTGTTATAATTCCTTTGAAAATTTCCCATGAAGTATGAAATATCAATTCTATTAAATCATTTTTATTTATAGCAATACAATATTAAAAAGTTAGTAATATGTATATGAAAGATCAGGGATAGAGTAAGGCTCGGAAACATGCAGGATTATATTAATTATATAAAAATTATTCTTATCATATGGAACAGAATCTATCTAAAAAAAATTCCGATGCGAAGAGACTAATTTATTTTATATTTTATTTTATTGAACACAACAAGAACTTAGGGGAAGAATGGTTAAATGCAGGTCTCTAATAGGTCTGCAGCTGCTTATTTTTTTCCCCTTCCAGATGTATTTTATCTCTACTGAATACCTCAAACCACAGTATAACAAAGAGCCTTCCTACCAAAGAAACAATACATGGCATCTTGAAAAAGGATTTGAGCAGACAAAGTGAAATTGTAGATGGTGGCTTTACTTTAATTAATGAGGCAGTCTTACAAATTATTGTAGCCCCTTTTGAGACAAAATCCTGAGGAGAGGAGCATATATTTGGACTCATTGGGTCGTATCCAATTTCATCTATTAGACCTGCAGGTCTCTTAGGTGCAATTCTGTTCTCTGCTGCGAGTCCCTGAAAAACCATTCATACATCTACATTGTAATCTACCTGCACTTTAGATTAAAGCAAGATTAAGACAAAAAATAGGGAGGAGGAGAGGAAGGACACATCTACCTTTTTACATTAATCAGTTTTCAGGGATTTGAGCAGGGTGGAATTGGGATCATGCTTAGACGCTTAATTATCACTTAAACAGGTAGCATGGCCCTACTTTTCAAAAAGAGCATAGTGGGAATCCTAACTCCATCTCAAATGGAAGAGCAACCTTCATTGCACAAGGATTGCAACCCCAGTTCAGTGCAGTCAACTTCTTTTTTT